CTACTTATATCCACATAAGTAGTATATAACGGTAGTCAGGAATAGAATATAATTCAATAGAAGATCGAGAAGGAAAGAATGGAAACGAAAGGCAATTGGTATGAAAATGCATGAGCAATGAAATCTGAGACGATAGACTAATATTTGCATAAGGAACAGTCAAGTCTGATACGTTTTGTAAATGATGTATTTACTGTATGACTCTCAGATTTTATGATCATCAGCTTTATTCAATATTATATTTTTGGTACAATATTGAATTCTCAGCGCAAATTATTTCAAAAAGTTTCCGTTTCTTTCTTCTTGGTCGGTCCTGGCGATAAATATTGAGTGATCGCTAGTTAGATGTTAGCAGTCCAGTAAATGAACATCTGAATAATGTGCATTCTTTCCATTGTATATTGCCAACAACCACATTGTCTCTTATTGAGTTTTTTGTAACTTTGACCACGAAAGGTTGTACAGTTTTCAGAAACGCAGCAGAATAGTTTATGCGATTAATAAACATATTGATATATTAAAACAAATAAAAATAGATAACTTGTTGAAATGTCTAGATGGCAGAAACAGATAGCCCAGATGCTCAAGCAGGCCGCCCATAATAAGATGTTCTGTACTATCGTGTTTACATTCCATTGCCCGCACTTGTGTTCTTGTTCGCTACACTAGTATTATTACCCGGATCAATAATTAGTTAATTATTCTTTTATTATCCCATTCTTATCCGTATAGATTTGTGGAGATAGTTGAGTTTCTTTTTAGTGAGATCATTTTTGTATTACTCATATTTGAATTATGTATGAATTAACATTTCTTATTTATGTGCTATACGGTCAGGTATTTGAAACCATGTATCTAGATATCCTTCCAAGAAACAACCTCCGAGCATTTAAAATATAAAAAAATATAATTCACTTAATGTCGACTAACTTAGACTAGTGGTCATATTGCAACTTGATAGATAGAGTTTAATCGGCATTGAAGGACTAAAGAAATATGACATACATTAATACTTAATGAATAGTATCAGAAGGGGTTTGTAGAGGTTTTTATTAATTTCAATAGTAGAGATCATGAGTCAATGGAAAACCTGGAAGCGCTGAACGGTCGTCTCATCCTATTGTGGAACTCCTCAACAGGGCGCATCCACGACCCAAGTTCATGGGATTCGAACCTAGAGTTTATCAGTCTTGTAATATAGAAGTATGTATGTTTCGTTTTGTTAACCTACAATTAGTTAAATCTATATTTGACGAGACTATAATTCATGGTTGAACCAATCCGCTTTAGGATAACAGGCCTTGGGTTTCGGCGCGACATCCATTCACCCACTTAGCTAAATGCAGTTTTGACATTATAGTTGATGTCAGTTCATGATGGAAACATTAAGTCTGATATCTAACCTTAACCTCATCAAATGTCAATCTTAATTCTAATTCTTCACACTGGTTTATAACCCTTATTTGCTCCTAGTTATTAGGTGGACACTCTCAAAGTCAGTTCAGTGTCGCTCAAATATCGTCCATAAATTATAGTCTCATTCAAAATATTAGTTTAGTCTTTTACAAGTTGCAGTTTCTTGCAACAAATAATCCTTTGAATTAATTAATTAATGTAACTTTTTAAGCAAAGATGGATAGTGGCTAGTAGTGGAATCTAGGACGCGCGTTTCGTTCTATTTTAAACTCGTCAGCTGGATGTACCTACGTCCTAGATTCCACTACTAGCCACTATCCATCTTTGTAAAAATTTTAATTTCATTAAAATCACCAATATCTTCATAAAATTTTAGTCATTTCAATGTAAATTTGATGGAGTTTTGAATCAGTAGTATGTTTATTAATTAGCATAATTATTACTAGTATTCTATGTATACATTTTCATACCATGTGGAAATAACCAGTTTGATAAATAATACATGTAAGATTGTAGTTAGAGGTATCCAATCACTAACTCATCTTAACAGAGTGTACACTGTTGTAACGGGTGAGACTGCAGGTTATGGATGGGCAGCGTTTTATCGATCGATCACAGTAACACGTAAAACACGCAAAGACGACCTAGTGTCCTGATTGGTACCGCTTCCCTGTCTAGCCCAGCCAATTGAGTCTAGAACGCAAGTCACAGCCTCTGAGTTATGAATCATTATATTTCAGACATACTCTATTTATATACTAACCAAACAGACCACATCGTACCATAAAAATAGAAAACAACATTTGTACAATATTTAATGAGTGAAATAAATAACGGCCAATAGGAAATGCCCATTTAACGTCCAAGGGCATCATTAGACTTAACATGATAATGATTGGCACATTATTCCTCAGCATCCATAACATACACAATATCATGTCACCTAGATTAGAGAGGTACATTGGAATTTGATCGATAGAATTCGATCTAGATTAAGAAGTATATTAATACACATAATATTGATCACTACCCAATGATCAATCAACTATAAATTGTACATGTCAAAATCAATATATTAATTATTGAGGATTAATTTCCATGATAAAAACAATAACATTAGCTTAAGATAATCAAGAATTAATAGAGTTTTATCTTTCATATTACTCTGATACTTTTCAGTATTATATATCTGTTGTGACTTTAAGCCTTGGTTTTTATCACGTGATTTATCCGTCAATCGAAATACGATTTATTCAATCTTAATAATGTGCCAGAACAATGACGTTCGACCGTTAGGTGCACCCTAATGTCCTTAATGATCCTTTTTCGCCTAACCCGTCCGCTTAGGTCCAGAATACCAATAACAGATTTCAAAATACAAATAATTTATTTCAAGTATACTTGGTTTATATACCAGCCAAACAGACCATATCACACTATAGAATAGGAAATAACATTTATACAAGATCAACCCCAAAAGTGTCTCTGAACGTGGTAGAATGTAATCAATAAACTGAACTTTACTTAAGAACAGTAAATCGTATCATAATAATCAATAGATCAAAATGAAGCTTATAATAAGGGGAATATAGATATACATAATCTAGTTACTGGATAGTTATACAATAAGAATTGGTCCATTAATAGCTCTCGGAATTCACTCGTAATTAAATCTTTACTAGTATTTAACAGTTACTTACGTCTGTCACTCCTCGTGGGAGAGCATAGGCCGCTCACCAGCATTCTCCATCCAACCCTGTCCTGGGCAATCCTTTTCATCTCTTTCTGATTGTTATTCGTCCTTTTCCATATCTGCTGCTATTTCCCGACGTAATGTGTTTATTTTGTCTTTCCTCTTTTCCACTTTCTTTCAGAATTCCAATTTAGCGCTTGTCTCGTGATACAGTTTGATGATTTGCGTAATGTACGTCTTATCCATTTCCATCGTCTTTTCTTAATTTCCTCTTCAGCTAGAAGCTGGTTTGTTCACTTCTACAGTAGGCTGTTGCTGATGATATACGAAATCTATTCATGAACTAATATTATAAATATATAACAGTATCCTTGATATATTTGTTTTCAATTATTAAGATCAAGAGATTCATTTTAATTAGATCTTTTTATATTTCAGTTGTTTTAAATGACTTGATCAAGCTTTTTAATAATTTTACTTCAATCACTGTTTTCTAATTAGCGGTATCATTACGTTATACCTTAATAGGGCACAAAACCACAAGTTATGATATGTTTATTTTCTTTGAGATTAGATGGTGGTTGGAGGTAGTTGACAGGAAACCCTGGACCGGGGTTTCGTGCTACTTGGCACTAGTCAGCAAGGTGTACCTGTAATCTTGAGGGAACTGGTGCTCTCTGGCGCATTCGATCCAGTGTCACCCAGCTTCGTGGTTAGAGACGTTACCAAGTGGCACGAAACCCAGGTCCAGGGTTTACTGTAGACTACCTCCAACCACTGTCTAATCTCAATATATATAGTGCCCGCAGTGTCAAGTCACCTAGACTGGTGGCCACATTGCAACATGATCGATAGCATTTGATCTGCACTAATAAGGACTAGACAAGCATGACATTGATCACCACTACCTTAAGGCGGCCTGCTTGAGCATCTGGGCTACCTGTTCCTGCCATCTAGATATTTCGACAAGTTATCTATTTTTGTTTGTTTTAATATATCATTATGTCTATTAATCGCACAACCTATTCTGCTGCGTTTCTGAAAAGTGTACAACCTTTCGTTGTCAAAGTTACAAAAAGCTCAAAAAGAGAGAATATTGTTGCTGGCAATATACAACGAAAAGAATGTGCATTATTCAGATATTCATTTACTGGACTGTTAACATCTAGCTGGCGATCACTCAGTATTTATCGCGCGGACCGACCAAGAAGAAAGAAACGGAAACTTGTTGAAATACTTTGTGCTGAGAATTCAATTTTGTACCAATAGTATAATATTGAATAAAGCTAATAATAAATAAATAAATAAATAAATAAATTGTGATATATTTTCTTTCCTTCCATCTATTGAAGAAATCCATAGAAATTTTATTAGAATTCATCACAAGCATCCTCCATCCAACCTTGTCCTGGTCAATCCTTTTAATCTCTTTCTGATTGTAATTCATCCTTTTCCATATCTGCTCCTATTTTATTTCAATACGTATTTCATCTAATGAATATAAGTAGTATATAAAAAGGCAAAATGAAACCGTAATCGGGAAAAAATTTAAAAAAAAACTTGAACTATAATTAAAAATTTCAATTAGTTGTAATTTTCATCATTTTGGCATATTTTTTTTTGGTTTTTTATTTTTGGTTACTATCAGCTTAAATGTGAAAAGAAAAAATACAAAAAAAAACACTTTACAGACCCACTTCTTTATTACATAGACATGTATATATATACATTGAATTAACCAATCAAATTTTAATAATTGATGACTATTCATTTAAGAAATTTGATTGGTTGATCATTGGTATCCGAGGTATTTACAAATAAAATCCTAAAGTAGTTTCAAGTGAATTACCATGGTTTTAATTATTATTATTAATTATACTTTACTACTTCCAGTACTACTTCTAGTACAGTTGTATTTCATGAGATGTGGATTTTTTTTTAAATGAAAAAATATTGATCTCAAATGAAAACTTAGAATAATAAGGTAAGTTCAGTATTGATAAAACTTTGATTGGATTGTATTTGTATTGAAATGTTGATTTTATTCCATTTTGATCATATGAAATCAACTTCAATTAGTTTTTCATCATGGCTCCACATTAATATATGTATAACAAAATACCATCCATTGTGGTTGAACACATTGGAAAGTAAGAGTGTTCAAGAGCTTTTAAAGTTATCTACTATATTCCATGAAATTTGCCACATTGTTTACGAGTGCATCTTTTGCACATTATTGAAGCCATTGCAATCTATGTTCACAAACCTAACCTTTTCATCAAAAAGAAGGTTGTACAATCACTTTCATCACCTTGGCCATTGGTATAATAGAGGAGTTTGTGGTTGAACTTTAATAAACTATTTTCGTATTTCTTCCATTTTCTGTATTTTATTTATTTTCAACATTTATCTCTTGATTCTTGCATAAGTAAAATAACCCATAGTGTTATTGAATAAGAAAAAGAGGATTCAGCGAAGAAAATTTTCTTTTTCTTACATAACTACTATACCACTGACCATTCATCAAAATATTTTGTTACTTCCTTCTGTTTTTTCCTATAATATGCCACGTAGCAACTACTTGATTTTCGAATAATTACTTTGATTATTATCAATTCACTTTCTTCCATTTTATAATCGATATATCATTATATAATTATTACGTAACATATCTAGTCGATGAGTATTACCTCATTATTGTAAATCATAGTGTGGAGTCATGATGAAGAACTAATTTGATTCGTGATTTGCAATTAAGGGTGGTTGAACACATACCGAAATGGCTGCAGAAACAAATGGATTCCAATGGTCAAATATGATCACAAGATAGACAGACATCATCCTCCATTACGAAACATTTGATTGAGACAGGTCATATGGTTGACAACAAATCAGCATTTGTAGTGTTCTACAAAAGCCTTCAAAGACGTATACTAAGGTTTATTGAAGTCTTGGCTATACGGAAATTGAAACCTTTATTTACCAAATGTCAAAATAGGAATTTTCACTATATAAAATTATCTTAAGATGTATGTTTTTAAGGAAAGAAATTCAATTTTCCTAATCTATGAATTATTGATTTGGTGAGATTATAATTTATGGAGGATCTTTGAGCGACGTCAAACTGAACTTGAGAGTGTCCACGTAATAATTAGGACCAAATGAGGATTATAAACCAGTATGAGGAACTCAAATTATGATTTACAATTGATGGGGTTAAGATTAGGACTTAGACTTAAGGTTTTCATTACAATCTGACATCAATTATAATGTCAAAAGTCTATTTAGTCAAATAGATGAGTGAATTTCTCATAAAAAAATCCGAGATCTGTTATCTTATAAATGATTGGTTGGTGCATAAATTATCCTCCTGTCATTGATTTTATTCGGAAGAGAAAAAGATATACTCAGTTAAGAATGGTAGTGAAAGATGTATCAGGCATGAAATTCCCCTAAAACGATGTTTAATATTATAAAAATAAATAAATAAATATCAGAATGGGTTTTGTGGAGATTTTTAGAAATTTCATTGGTTGAAATCATGAGTTAGTTGAAGCTAGACCACCATGGAAAACCTGGAAGCACTGGACGACCGTTTTTTCCTTGTATGGGACTTGGCAGTGAGCATCCACAATCTAGCTTCAATTGACTCATGATTTCAACCAGTGAAATAAATAATTATTGTTGTCAATTAAAATGGAACATTCTCATAAAAATTCTGCAATGAAGTATAATTCATGAATAAAATCATACAATTAACTCAGTTAATAGATTCAAATAAATCTGAGTAACTTATGACTAAATAAATGAATGGAAACATTTATGGACTTGTATGGGTGAAACCGACCGGTCCTGGATTCGATTCCTACAAGGCGGGATCATGGGTGAGCACTGTTGAGGAGTCATATAGTAGGATGAAACAGTCGTCCAGTGCTTTAAGGTTTTCCATGGTGATCTAGCTTCAATTGACTCATGAATTCAACTATGAAAATTATTATCATATCCACAAAATCCCTTTCTGATAGTAAATACAAAAGTGTTTACGTGATTGTGCATGTATTTATGGGTTAATGTTAGATTTAGAATAACCAGTGTGGTCAAATTGTGGATTTTAATTTAGTAAAAGAAATGTAATGATTACATAATACTACTAGTTTTATAGATTGCTGATAAATCTAGGTACTTTTATGATTCACTGTAGTGTAAATGGATTGATTGAATGTTACCTTCTTATTATCATCCATTTAATTTAGTTGAATCGTTTCTTTCGAAAACATCGTATAAGTGATGTGTTTAATTATCATAATGAACAACTAAGCTCATTTCATATTATAAGTAACTAGATGGTGGTTGGGTGTAGTCAACAGGACACTCAGGACCCGAGTTTCATGCTACTTGGCACTTGTCAGCAAGGTGTACCTGTAATCTTAAGGGAACTGGTGCTCCGTGACGGATTCGATCCCGTGTCACCCAGCTTCACAGTCAGAGACGTCCAGAGTTTCCTGTAGACTACCTCCTACCACCATCTAATCTCAACATAGTGCACACAATGTCAAGTCACCTATACTAGTGGCCACATTGCCCTTGGTTGATAGTATTCGATCTGTACTAAAAAGGAATTGACACACATGACATTGATCATCACTCAGTGATCAATTAATTGTGATTATAAGTGACTAGTTTTTCAACTGTATTTAGTTCTCCATCATTCTGTATGGAAGAGACGATATACATTGTTTACATCATTATCATAATTAATAAATAAAAGTTTGTAAAAATCAATTTAATTGATAAATAATATTCATCACAAATTGATTCTAGTTGAAGTACCTCGGAAAACTAGGAAGCAATGAACAGCTAACACATTTCATTACGAGACTCTTTAATAGTGAGAATCTACGAACCTTCAAAGATCATACCAAGCATATACAAGTCTCTTGATGATCACTTAACTATTAGACCTTTGATTGAAACCAGTAATAATAAGAGATGTATTTTTGAAGTTACAGCAAGATGTTGTGACTAGTGAATTTAAACTGTTTCAGGAATAAAAAAATTGTCATCAATGATAATGAATGATTATCAAGTTATATTGTGTATTGATTGAATTTAAAAATATAGGCTATCAAGTTTTAGCTTATCAGTTTTAAGACAATATACTCACCATGAAACTTGAAAACCTTGGATCTAATCTCTAGTAAAGCCATGAATGTGCATTTCTGAGGAGTTTTCTTATTGGGACGAAAGAAACATTGAATAGATCATGGCTTCCATTACTACTCCAAATAACTTTAATCAGTGATAAAGAGCATCTGTATAAATGATAATGTTTCTTTTCATGTTTTAACTTCAGTTTTTACTTTCACTATTTCAATCAAAAGTTGACCTTTCGTGCTAAACTCATATTATCTATTCTAAAAGAAAAAAAAACATTTCTCATGAATTTTATGACTATTAAGAGTTGTAAAGTTTACTTGTTTACTATAAACAAATGCTTATTTAATAAACAGAAAGGGGTTTTGCGGAGATTTTAGTAATTCTAATAGTTGGAATCATGAATCAATTGAAGCTGGTGGGCAACCTATGCTCCTCCACCAGGAGAAACAGGTGTAAGTAAGTATGTATAGAAACTTTAGAAAATATATAAAATTGTATAAAATTTATTCAGTTCAAAAAAATAATGTAACATAACTGTAGGACGGATAAATAAATGTTTAATAGTTTAATTCAACAGTTAATTGAAGCTAGGTCAACATGGAAAGCCTGGAAGAATTGAACGGCCAACTCTTCCTATTGTGGGACTCCTCAGAAATGCGCATCTATGACCCCACACACGGGACTCGGACCCAGAACCTTCGGTCTCGTAGACGAATGATTAACTTCTACACTACTGAGCCGGCCGGCACCCAACGGTTTTGATGTCTGACTTCAACTAATCTACAAAATTGAGCCACCATCCATCACTGTCTTATTATTAAACTTATTAAACTATACATTGGAAAAGAGTCATTAACACAGTTGCGAAAATTATTAGAAGGGGTTTTGTGGAGATTTTAGTAATTTCAGTAGTTAAAATCATGAATCAATTGAAGCCAAAACAGTCATGGAAAACCTGAAAGCACTGGGAGGCAGTTTCATCCTAGTATGAGACTCCCCAACAGTGCACATCCACGATTCCACCTCGCAAGATTCGAACCCAGGACCTATCAGTCATGCGCGCGAACGCTCAACCTACTAGACCACTCAGCCGGCATCCAACAGTGTCAATGTCTAACTTCAACCAATCCACGAAATTGAGCGACACATCCATCATTGTCTTCAGTGAGTTACTATCTCAAAACCGGCCTTGTTGAATTTCACTAGTCACGGCTTCTCATTAGAACTCCAGGAAATAATAATAGTTTTTTTCTCTCTTTCAGCTGATGATTTAATGATCTGAAAAGATAGTTTTACTGTTGTTTAATAAGAAGAGAAAATACAACAATTTAGATATCTAAACCATGATTGAATTGTAAATAGATTTTTCTGTTTTGAAATCAATATTATTTGAAAAATAAAATCTGAAGTGTTTTTGTTTTTTTGAAAAAAAGTATTGATCAATCTGTAATTTGAACATAGTAGTTGTAGTAGTGGTGGTGGTCATAGTCGTAGTAGTAGTAGTCGTCGTCGTCCTAGTAGTAGTAGTAGTAGTGGTCACAGTCGTAGTGGTAGTAGTAGTAGTAGTAGTAGTAGTAGTAGTAGTTGTTGTTGTTGTTGTTGTAATGACACTTGTATCCATTGGATTATATAATGAAGGTGTTTATCTTCTATATATAACTTAGTTTTTGTTGTCTTAATGATAATATGTATGTGGTTCTCTATAATAAAACGAAACGACTGTCCAGTGCGTATCCAGGTTTTCCATGGTCGTCTAGGTTCAATTAACTTATGATCTCAACTATTAAAATTACTATAATATTCACAAATAACCCCTTCTGATATTAA